AGTGTAAGTAAAAGAGTTTTGTACAAAAGTGTTAGTACACTACATGCAACATCTTTCATATATATTTATATATGTATATATATATGTGTGTGTGTGTGTGGCCCCCTGGGGCATAGTTCAGTGGTGCAAATGATAAAAGTGATGTTATCTCACGCCTTGCTGGCAGTCGTAGTGTGGGGGTTCGGTTCCCGAAACATAGAATTAGACTTCTTGTAGGCGCAATGTATAGACAACTCTTGTTTCCTGGCCTGCTGGGACATATCCCGCGATTTACCTCTTTCACAAAGTTCTAAAGACAGGGCGGTGGGGGCTCTCAAGGTTGGGATTCAACCTTTATATATATATATATGTATGTGTGTGTGTGTGTGTGTGTGTGTGTGTGAAGTACCCTGGTTCTCGGTGTGCAAAAATCTAGAATAATTCTCCCTGTCCCGGGTTGGGGACAGGGAGAAAGACAGGGGCACCACATGGCGCCCTCCTATTGGAGGGGCGCCGACCGCCCAAGAGCAAGCGCCCCTGTCCCTAGCCCTGTCCCCAACCCGAGTCAGGGAGCAGGGTTCAAAAATCTATTGATACTCTAATTCTTTTCTCCTTTTGTTTATAACACATTACATGTTAAAATTAATATTTTTGCTATTTCTCTCCTGAACAAATTGAACCGGACGCACAAAAAGCCATAACAAAAGGAAACCGGAAACCATTAAACCGGACCGGCCACAATATCCAGACACCAGCTCGGTGCAAACCAAAAATAAAGCCAGCCTCGTCAACTCTAATCTCTACACTGGAGGTAAGTCGAAATTTCAACTATTTATTATTTCCAATTCAATGAACTTTTAGTCAATTTTTTTCTTAATCCAAATGTTGTTTGAGTTTTCTACTATACCGTATGGCCGTATTCACCTTTTTTTCTTTGAAGATTTTCTTGAAAAGTGCGTAAGTTATAATTTTTAGTCAAAAGATTAGACTTTTACAATAATGTTTTAAATGAAATTTTATTAATTTTATCTGAAATCAAATTAATATTTGAGAACTGGAAGTTTAATTTGTTTGCTCGTTACATGTTTGATACATTGCCTTAATTAACTTGCACGTTACAATATGCACGCATGCGTATAACATACTTGTGATTTAAGTATGATCTATCTGTCTATTTGCTATGCTTGCGGAAGTTCTTTCATTGGATAGATGTTTTGCTTGCATTTCATTTTAAAGTGCGAGAAATCAGAGTTTTCAATGGATATGTCATAGGGGAATAGATTTTTGGGTAGTGAAGGTGCTGATGGGAGTCAATTTGGTCTGATTGGGATTATGTATTTAGAATTATAAATTAATTTTAGTTTGAAAAACTAAATAAAGGGATGTCGTGAAATGTTTGTTATCTTTTTGCATTTGTCATAACTGATACTCATTGTCATTCAGAATCTGGAGTGGTGACGGTATTTGGTTGTTATACTGAGTCTTGACTAAATGAAGAACCATTTTAGTTTCTTCTTATTTGGTGAGAGGCTGATATGTACCTTACATTTGAAACTGTTTTAAGAAAATCGTTGTGTTCATCAGAGAGTTGATCCCTATATTAATATGTGGGCAAAATTTGACCCTAAACATTGGTGATCATTTTTAGTACTAGATTTCAGGTTCTAGTACAATTTATCTATTGTAGGCTATACACTTAATTGTTAGACTGCAGAGATCCATGATTTTCAACACTCTTGTTCTTAACTTCCAATTAAAAAAGTCAAAAGTCAAGATGAAACCAATCTTGATTAAAAATGGGCGACACTTGTCAAATTTGCAGGGAGGCTATCAATTATGTAGCATTTTGAGTGTGTATGTGCTGTGCTTCTGTGTACTAGATCTATATCTGTTTTACTCGGCAATAAGTGATGAGCTTTTCAATTATTCTTTTACTTTTGAAGATGGAAAGATATATCTGATTCATATATTTGTTAATTTGTGCAGGTCATGAGGTGATGATAAAGCCTGTATTCTTTGGTTCTTCAGTATGAAGGAGAACCAATTTGTTTTTAATCTTGTAAATTTGAAATCTGTGTAGATGGGTCTCCTTTAGGCATGAGGAGGTATTCCTTCTTCCTATTAAGCCGTTATCAAGAATGTTCTCGCCATTTTCACCCAGGTTCAGCCACAAGCCAATTCTTATTCTTGTTCCAATTTAATAATTCATTGATCCAAAATCTATCTTCCTTAAGCACAATCAGTACAAGAGCCTTTCCTGATTTTTCGCCAAAGAAACCTACAATTAGGGACTCTGAACTTGTTCACCATATCTCAACTACCATCAAGCAAAGCCAATCTGTGCCCCTTCGCCGTATTCTGAAGCCCTTTGAATCCAAATTCAGGCCTGACCACCTCATTTGGGTTCTCATGAACATAAAGGATGATTACAGACTAGTTTTGGATTTCTTTGACTGGTTCTGCATAAGAAGGGATCCATCACTTGAAGCTCGTTGCATTGTAATTCAAATTGCAGTGGCTGCAAAAGATCCAAAGATGGCTCAAGAACTTTTCTGTGAGTTCTGGACAAAGCCCAGTACTAATGTTAGTTTCTCTTTCTCCCGTATTCTGGAGAAGTTAATATACACCTACAAGGATTGGGGTTCAAATCCATACGTGTTTGACATCTTCTTTCAAGTCCTTACTGAAGCTGGAACTTTTGATGATGCGAGAAAGCTTTTCAATAAGATGTTGAATTATGGTTTGATTCTGTCTGTTGATTCCTGTAACTTATTCCTTTCTAGACTGTTAAATAATATCAATTGTCCTAAAATGGCATTGAAGGTGTTCAGCGAATTTTCTGAAGCAGGTATTTCTTGGAATACTGCATCATATAACATACTGATTCACTCACTTTGTCTAATTGGGAAAGTGAAAGAAGCTCATAGCTTACTGTTGCAAATGGAGTTCAGGGGCTCCATTCCTGATGCTATAAGTTATAGTACTGTAATCAATGGGTATTGTAATGCTAAAGAACTTCGATCAATGTTGAGAGTTTTAGAAGATATGCAGCTTAAGGGATTGAAACCAAATGCATATACCTTTAACAGCATAATCCTTCTTATGTGCAATACTGGTAGGGTAGTGGATGCAGAGAAGGTCTTCAGGGAGATGATGTTTCTAGGAATCATTCCAGATAATGTAGTTTACACTACTCTCATTGATGGTTTCAGCAAAATTGGAAATTTTGCTGCTGCAGTTAGAATGTACAACGAAATGCAGAGCCAGGACATTGTTCCTGACTTTATAGCATACACTGCTCTCATTTGGGGTCATTGTCAAAATGAAAAAATTGCAGAAGCAAATAAGCTGTTCAATGAAATGCTTAGCGTTGGGTTAAAACCTGATGAATTTACTTATACTACGCTGATTGATGCTTACTGCAAGACAGGCGATGTTAAAATGGCATTTTCTCTTCATAATGAGATGGTTCAGATTGGATTGGTTCCTAATGTTGTCACTTACACTGCACTGGTTGATGGGCTCTGTAAACAGGGGGATGTCGATGCAGCAAATGAACTGATTCAGGAAATGCGTGAAAAGGGACTTGTTCTAAATATCTACACATACAATTCACTTCTCAATGGACTTTGTAAATCTGGAAATATAGGGCAAGCAGTAAAGTTAATGAAAGATATGGAGGTAGCAGGCATACAGCCTGATGTTTTTACCTATACTTCTTTAATGGATGCTTATTGCAAATCTGGAGAGATGGTTAAGGCACATCAGCTTCTACGTGAGATGTTGCATAAAGGGATTCAACCAACTGCTGTTACATTCAATGTTCTGATGAATGGATTTTGTATGTCAGGGATGCTAGAAGATGGTGAGAAGCTTCTCCAGTGGATGTTGGGGAAGGGTATAATGCCAAATGCCACCACTTACAATTTTCTGATGAAGCAGTACTGTGTTAGAAATAATATGCGTGCAGCAGCTGAGATTTACAGGGGCATGGTTTATCAAGGAGTAATGCCAAATGGAAATACATATAACATATTGATACGAGGACATTGCAAGGCAAGGAATATGAAGGAAGCATGGTTTCTGCATAAGGAAATGGTCGAGAAGGGATTTGATCTTACATTCGATACCTACCATGCACTGATTAATGGTTTTATAAAGAGGAAGAAGTACCTTGAAGCTAGAGTGCTGTTTAAAGAGATGAGAAGTAAAGGTTTTTTTGCAGAGAAGGAATTGTATTTAATCTTTGCAGATATGAACTATGATGAAGGGAATATTGATATGACTCTTGAGCTTTGTGATGAAGCCATAGAAAATTGTTTTATGGATAAGACCGAAGGCAGGAAGACATAATCCTGTGGCAATACATTGATCTGATGATCGTGGAGTTCATCTTTGCTCTGCTTTATTATTTCCAACAGTTTGAGCAACAGTTACCAAGCATCAAAATGACCGGTAATTTCTATTTGTTGTACTCACTGCTTAATAAGTGGCTTAACTGCAATTAAAGATGGCTCGCGACTCGGCCCGGAAAAGCTCGAGCTGGCTCGGCTTGTGGCTTGTGTCAACCAAGCCAAGGCTCAGGGTGAGCCCCATTTTCGAGCAATGGCTCGAGCTGAGCCGGCCCATTCTGCAGCTTGCATGCGAGCAGGTAGCTGGCCTGCTTGCATGCAGTTTCATGTCAGGCAGCTGTACAGGCAGCAGTAATTCAAAAGGAAAAAAAAAAAAATTCAAATTTTTTATCAAGAAATCTTTTTTCATTTTCATGGGATTTGTTTTTCCTGCGGAAAGGGAGGAAGGAAAGTGGAAGGAATAGTTATGTTTTGTTATGTCCAGTCAGGACAGGCACTTAAAGGATTATGTTGATCTCTATTCCTCTCTTGGCTGGAATTCCCTGGTTTGCCACTGCCGATTCCTCAATTTGTAAGCTCAATTACTTATTTTCCCATCAATTATACATTTGGGATTCTGGTTCTGATTATGAATTATTTAATGGAAAAATTGTAGCACAAACTCCAAATCTTTGAAACATTAGCAGACTTTCTCCAAATCTTTGATTTGCTACAATTGTCACCTCTAACCTTTTCAAATGTTGCAGGTGAAGCTTTTTTGGACGGTTTCCATCCACGATTCCGTTAGTTGAAAAATTTTAATTTTGACCACATTTTTATTATTTTAAAAAGGGCTAAAAGAGTAAATTTTCATTTAGCACATTAAAAAAAAAAAAAAAAAAAAAAACCTGTCTTCTTCTTTTCACCCCTAACTCAAACCCCAAATCCACACAAAAGTGACTGGGAAAGTAGATTCAACCTTTAAAAGTGATGCAACAATGGTGGTAGTGGAGGTTTGTACATTAATTGAATATGACTATTTGGTTGTGATGTATCGGATTGAAAGGGGAGAGGGAGATTTATTTATTTTAAATTGGGGTAGTTTAATATTTGATTTTAGAGTTTGGATTTCGATGCAATTCATTTTGGATTGGTTCAAATCGAAACAGAAACCAAATTGTTTATTTGGTTTAAACAGGAAATACGAAAATAGCTTTTAGTCTTGCTTGGCTAGATTTGTTACCCCATGAAGTAATTTTTGCTCAAGGCATCTGACTCATTTATCTGATTTGCAGAACTTGTTTTTGTATGGATATGGTGACATATTCAACTTTCTTGGAATCTTTGTAACAGTCACTTTCAAAAGTTGATTCTGCTCTCCGAGGCTTAGCTTCTACTAATACATTAATGATTGCCCATCTAATTGCTGTCAACCAAGCAAAATATGCATCGCCAAACGTGGAGGTGCCAGTGGCGGTGGTCCGTGTGGATTTGAGTTTTGAGTTGGCGTGGGGATGGGTGAGGGGTGAGAGGAAGAAGACGGGGGTTGTGTTTTTTTAGTTCTTATTTTTTAATTTAATTATTATTTAACGTGATAAATGAAAATTTACTCTTTTACCCTTTTTTAAAATAATAAAAATGTGGTAAAAGTTAAATTTTTGGTCAACTAACGGAATTGTGGATGGAAACCGTCCAAAAGGGCTTCACTTGCAACGTTTGAAAATGTTAGGGGTGACGGTTGCAACAAATCAAAAGTTTGGGGAAGGTCTGCTAATGTTTCAAAGGTTTGGGGGTTTTGCCGCAATTTTTCTTTCTTTTTTTTTATTTTTTAAATTTTTACTGGTGGTATGTTTTTTGTTATCTAAGTTGACCCATATGGGTGGGGAGTCTTGTGGATGTCTTTTTACTTCAATTTTAAATTGTAGCTGAGCAATATAAAAGGTAGTTGGGGTTGATAAGGTTCATGAATTTGAATGTTTTGTTGAGTATGCATAGAAAGGAAAATGAATTTGATGTAGTATTATAATTAATTTGTTGAATATTCTTGCTCCTTAATGTAATTTTGGTTGGTAGTGACACGTTGTATGTTAAATGTGCAGATTATGATTGTGTATTTCTGATGAAATTACTGTTCTACATTATGTTTTATTCTAAGATTTCATTTATTCTAACTTAGAAGAAATGAAATGATAATAAGTTAATAATTATAAGTTGTTAATGACTAGGGTTTGTATAAGCCATTTTAGTGGTGCATAGCTTATAAACATTTTTTAATCTATAATTAGTATAAATCACACAAAATTTATGTTATTAAAAAGAATTTAAAATTTCACGAATTAAAAAAAAAAAAAAAAAAAGAAATCTAGTTGGCTTGGCTCAGCTTGGCCCCTGAGCCTAAAGCTCGAGCCAAGCCTCGGGTTTTCATCCGAGCTTTGGCTTTGCTTGGGCTAGAAAAGCTCGAGTCATTTTTTTGCACGGGCATTGCATGAGCTGTGAGTTTTGGCTCGTGAGCTGGCTTAGCTCATTTACATGGCTAGGTGTGCATACATTACATGTTCCCATGGTGATTTACCCTCTGTAGTTTTTTCTGCTCATTAACATGGAATGGCACAATAGTGTTTCAGGTTTTAATAAGATTGCTAATAAAAGGGTATTGACTGACACCTAATGTACTTAATTTTGCAGTAAGAAAGCATGAAGCCAAATTCTAAAATTTTTTTTTTACTTAAAAGGCATCCTGAAGACAAATGACTACACAAAGAACACTCTTTGGTTAGTGACATAAATTTGGTTCTTAAGGATGAAGTAGTTGTTTTCTTCAGAGAAAAGAAAAAGAAAACAGGAAGATTATTAAGTTCAAAGAGCATTCATGCTTTATGTCTTGTCCAGTGCTGTTTAACATTACTCCAAATGTCTTAAAAGATCGATAGGATGATAGATGATTATTCGAACTGTTGACTTAGAACGGAACAAGTATATGATACAAATCTTGTGCAGAAGTTTTTGAAATTCATTTAGAAACCGGTCCTTTAAGATTTGGAAAGCTGTAGATTTAAAAAAATTCACAACTAAGTTCCTGTTTGGGTTATAGCAATTGTCTTTTGTTCCACTAATGACTGACACATTGTCAGCGTTACGTCTACATTATGAGTAGAATTTATCATACTATACTATGCCTTGTTTGAGCCCCATTTTGGGGACAAAATTGTATTTTGGAAGAGTGTTTTTGGAGAACATGTGGTTAAAAATGAGAAAAAAATTTAGGTTTAAGTGTGAAATTATTTTATTGGAGAATATGTGGTTGAAAATGAGTTTATGATAAAATGGGGCTCAAACAAGGGCTATATCTATCTCGGTTTTAGAATGATATATGTCACCTGCTTACCTGTTTGTTTGCTTTTCTAAAGCATTATGGTATAATCCATTTTGGTAGCAGGGCTAATCAACTGCCTAGTTTGTAATATGTACATGTCATTATATCGAGACATCATCCCCACCCCATCTTTGCTCTAATCCCCGTCCGATCTGTATGTAATTTTTATGGTTTTTAATATTTTTATTTTATTATTTATTTATTTATTTTTGTACATGGCATGTGCGCGCTTGAGAAAACAATATTTATTCATTCAACTAGTGCACCTAGACATTTGATGTAAAAGAATGATGACATATCCCCAACTGAATTAATAATTCCCTCAGTGCAAACTTGGACGAGAACTTAAATTCCCCTTTGCTTCTCATTTATTACCATGTGATGCAGAAGATTGATGGAAAAGCACAAGATAATGCCTGAAATATTTGACTGCAACCAAGGACAGGGCATCTACTTTGATTCGTATTGTAAGTCTATTCTAGAGGCCAATTATTGTTCTTTATTAAATTCATACTTTGGTGAAAGGACACTGTACGACAGACGCATTTGTAGAATAGAATGATATGACATGATCATTTGCAGATTTGCACTTGTGTTACTATCTTTTTCGAAAATCAAGTAAAATGATACATAATATGTCACAGGCACATTGAGTGAAATCTTTGAATTTGGTTATCTTCTTGTCTGAGTTGACAAGAAAAGAGCATAAAGTAAATAATGAGCACATGCACGTCACGATAACACGCATAATGTTCATCGTGTAAAAAAGGAAAGCTTGAAGATCATTGGTCTTAATCAAGTGAAAATTAAGTTATAGTCAATGCAGAATATATTGTGCTTAGTAAATAATTTTATTTTCCTTTCGGAATTGCTGGTCATGCAGATTTGGAGAAAATTGTAATAGATGATTATTTTACGATCGAAGCAAAAAAATTAAGCTGAGAAGACCAGCTGGAGATATTTCTTCTTTGATGATCTATGTCTTAGGATCACGCGCTGAGGAACAGAGTCACACTTAAACTATCCATGTAGCTGATCTAGTACAAACACATTCATGCCCCCGACATGGCACACAGTTACTTCACCATCAGAACAAATCTAACTCCAACCAACACACTGTGACTTCATAATAAATCTTGCAACACACAAAGAAGCTTGGTCCAGAGGGAAAGGAATGGTTCCCCTACTAGACTTGCCAATGAACTGAAAAATAGTCGGAAATTATACCTCACATTTGAAAGAATCACAGTTGTTGTTAAGCTTCATTACTTTCCAGGAAATTTTTCTGCTGCCCAAATATGACTTGCATAGATCTCTGTACAAGTAAGTGTATACGTTACAGTTATCCTTAGTTTGATAAACTTGAAGATTTCACGAAGCTATGAAGTGCAGATGCCTCATTGTTTACCTTCCATATATGCAGGGACAGAAATAGGCACCTGATATTGCTGCTCAACCGAATTTATCTACATCAGAGTGGCTGTAGATTATATCTGTGGAATCAGCATTACCCCTTGAGTTTATTTTGGTCTAAAAGGAACAGAAATTTGATATACATGCCGTCTGCTGTTTCTCCCTGAAGATGATATCTACCTCTTCATGTTGATCCTCTAATACTTAACTTGCGGTAAGCATCCATGTGTAGCTAACATATGTCATCCTAGAAATTTACTATATAAAGCTTGTTTGTCTGTCCATAGTGATGTCACACTTACTAGTATCTTGGTCCGTATATTTTTGAATTTATTCTGAAATTTTTTTGAATAAATTTGCCATTGTAGAAGCTCAACTTTTATGTTCATGTCAGGGAGATGAGACTCTTCGATGATCCTGGGATAGGTTTTTAAAAAGAGGCCACTGTATGACCACATGATCTAAATAATTATCTTCTAAAACTACTATTGAGATAGAGAATTAGAATAGATAATTGTAATCAGCAGATGTTAAACTATAACAGTTGACAAGACTAAAAAGAAAAAAAAATTAAAATTAAAATTAAAAAACATCTGGAATGATATTAGATTTAAGCTGTCATGAAGTATAATGCAAAAATTCACATGTTTGGTACGTTGTCATCTAGATATCATTGAACACATTTAACGAACAAAATACTAAGTATTTTAATTGTTTGCTATGTTGTAGAGGAGAGTAATGCTATTTACAATCCCAATCTAGTAAACGCTAGATGATAGGTTGAATAAAATGTGAAATTAAATAACATCTATCATTTAGGGGGTATTTGAGTCACATTATTTTGATAATAATGCATTTCTTGAATAGTGTACTGATGAGAAATGTGTAGTTAAAAAATAAGAAAAAGTTTTTGATTTGCGTGTAATATTTTTTTATTAAAAAATGTGATTGAAATGATGTCAAATTATTATTTAAGAATGAATTTTTTTGAAATAATGTAGCTTAAACATACCCTTAATGTCATATTAACGCCACATAAACTGGGATTTTAACCCCAGAGGGGCTACATAATATTATTTTGTAAAGTATTTGAATTATGCAACTTTGCCATTGCCATCTCCCATCATTATGTAGGAATTTTCATCATAAGTACCAAAAAGAATCTGGTCACCGTGATTTGCTGTAAAGGGAAGCCATAATAAACTTAAGCAAGCACAATTCTAAAGGTTTTTCCAATCTATTTGACATCGTTAAATTTAAGATTAAATTGTGTGTTAATGAAAAGTTAATATCATATTTAAAAGCTAATTATGTATTGTTTTGGTTTATAATGTGATGATATTTGGATAGGCTCCAAGATCAACAAGTTTAGCATTCTATCTTTATCGAATATCCATAATTGGAGATGAAAGTAACATGACCACGATGTCATAATATAGATAAAAGTTTATTACTCACTAGAGATTTGGATAACATATTTTCTCGATCTAGTGAAATTCAACCATTCAATTGTCACTACTAGGTTTTTTTAGACATCTTCGTTTATGTAGTCACTTTTGTAGCAAAAGAACATATTCACTCATGTATGACGTGAACAACAATAGTGTGTTTCAAAATAAATTGTTAGCCTTTATTCACCCATCATCTCTTAATCTCATTGTCTACACCTAAACCTAGTCTGAAACATATAGGGATAATGTGGTACGACCCATGAGATGGAAGATGCATAGCCAACAACTCCATGGGCCAACTTGGTGGTGGAAATTGGCGCAAACGTGGTTAAGCCATAGCCATATAATTTACCTACCATCCATATTTGATCACATATTTGCTACATATATTGACCAAGGTTAATGCATATGGTCTAAACCAAAACAAACGTAACTATATAAATATAAAATGATTTATGGAAAATATCACAATTGGTTGTTTAAATTAATTATCCAAGTATTTAAATTAGCCTTCAACTTTTAAAGAACAAGTTGATTTTCAAATTAATAATGTTGGAACCCTTCCAAATTAGATGATTTCTATGTTTATACGGGAAGAGGAAATTTCTTAAATGGACACCAAATAGTTGGAGGAAATGAAAACTCATTTTCCCCCAATAACGTCTTACAAAAAAAAGTGTTGGGGGGGGGGGGGGGGGGGGGGGGGGGG